GAAGCATCGTCTGGCTGGATGTGTTGCTGTGGCCACTTGAACCTGATGGGCAAAGTAGGGTGCTTGAATTTCTCATCAGGATGAGTTACATTCTCAGCACTGATATGAAGCCTACTTGCTGCTGGAAATATTTCTTCGTATGTTGTCTCTCCTAATCCTATAAATAATTATCATGTCTTCAAAAATGATGTTGTTTTGTACAGTTCTGATTTATGTATTTTATCTTAATCATGGATGCCTTTTTGAAAAGCTTGATTGTGTTTTTAAGGATCCTTCTCTTTAAATTAGCAGACCAGAGAGTTACTGAAGAAGCTGACGTTCCTCTGCCTCCAGAAGTTGGAGATTTACAAAAGACCTTCAAAATCAGAGTAGCCATAGGCATGAGAATGGACAACACCCCATTATTATGGAATATGATGGTAAGTATTTAAGTCAAAGAGCTGCCAAGAACCTTAATTCAAATAAGAAGCACTTATGTATGTAAATAATGTAAGGAAAGACACACATATGTAATTTCAGTTATTGCTGTCATTTCTTTTTCCTGTCCCACCTCCCTGTGCTTTCCATCTCCTGATAACGGTGTGTGTCAGCATGAAAAATGATTGTAACGTCCCTGGGTCAGGAAGTGGCTTCATTACTTTTTATACATTGCCCTCCATGGTGGGTGTGGATTCTCAACCCCTCATACGCTGCTGTCTTGTAAGCAGTGACGTTTGCGCATTGGGTTGTTGTGCTAGAACAAACAGGAACAGGAGAGAAACCCAATGCTTGTATTTATTTTTCTTTTGTTTTGTAGCTGTGCTTCTGGTTTGCAGGCCAGAGGGGAAAGCAATTACATGGGCAGATCTATAGATGGCACAAATTGGTGGTACGTCACTTGCTCAGGTTTGTGATAGCTGAGGATCTGGCCCACACCTTGTCAAGTTTTCAGCTTGTGAACAGAGCCAGGTGATATTATTACCTACAGACAGTTGCTGGCTGATGCTGGCTATTTGTTCCCCAGTTCTGCTCTCTCGTTTTGCCATTCCTCAAGTACTATGGAAGGTTGGCAATTACAAAACAGACAAAAGTCTTGCAGTCAGCTGCAATCTACACACTATGCTGTGTGTGAAAACCTACTTCATGAACTGCTGTTCCATAGGAAGTCCTTTATCACAGGACCTAAAAGTGTGATGGTGGCTGTGGCTAAGAACAACTCTTTCCTGAAGTGTGAAAGGTAATTACTGACTTCCTCTGGTCTGTTTTGTGGTCAGCACGTTGTGGTTGAAGTCTGCTGGATATTTTTTTTTCTCACCTCCATACTGAAGAAAGGGCAGATTTGTTTCATCTCAATAGGAGGAAAATGTTGTGACACTGTTTAACCTGCAGCAAAAGATGTGATCTTATTGGACCAAAATGTGTTTTTCCAGGGAAGAAAAAAAAAACCCTTTCTGACTAGCATCACATTAAAGCTTTGATCCAGGTTTAGTATGGTAGCTTTGAAGCTCCCACTAATTTTAATGGTGTCAGGATTTCACCTTCTCATCACAGACTGACTTTCCAACTTTTATTCAAAACTGAGTATTGATAGCTGTGTGGGATTGAGCTTGAGACTATGGACAAGAATGAAGTGGGTTGAGTTTCCCCAAGCAGGCATGCTGTAGAACTCACTCAATAAGAAAATAGCATTCTGCATCCACCTACTACCACAGGAGGAGGAGCTGGCAATGGCCAGGCTTGTGTTTTGTCACCGTGTCTTTTTCTGTGATTGTTGTAAACAAGAGGTACCTTAGCACAACCCCGAGGGAAGCAGGGCAGCAGATACGATTTCCCCTTATCTCCTTATCTGTCCTCTGTTGGAAGGTGTTTGGGTGCCTTCCATTTTGGGAGGGGGAAGTGTTGGGTTCCACCTACACCAATGCTTGCTGAGTGTTTCTCTGCCACGGTGCTCTGTCTGCACCTCTGCTATGGCCGCCAGCTGTCTGTTTAATCCAGTCCTGCAAGTGGAGTTAATGAGACATTCCTCCTTAACTAACCTGGTGCAATTAAAGCTTCAGATCTTTGCACCTCAACAGCTGTGTGTTGTCACTGAGATAAATATTTTAACTGGTCTGGCAATTCCCTAGCTGCCCTCAGTAAGTGGTTGAAGGAGTGGCTTTCATTTCCCCATTTATTAAAGTGAAATTCAAGTTCTGACAAAACAACCCTCCAGAAAAGACCTGTGAAGGAAAAACAGGGGTGGGAGTGGGGTTGGTTGTCTGCAGGGCTTTTCTCAACCAGGGCACCCTGTGCCCACAACCAGCTGCTCATGTGCAAATCTCGCCGTGCCTTCAGTGGCAGCTAATGGGAGAGTTTTGGTTTGTCACCAATATTAGGAGAAAAATTCCTTTGGTGTTCCTGATGCTGTACAACTAAAGGCCGCTCATATGACTTGTCTTTCAAAATGGCTTTTTTAATGTGGCAAACATCATTAAATACTTTCCAGAGCAATCTCACAAAGGAAAGATGAACAAATCAGGCAAGATATTGGTATTTACATAGGTTCATCATGATGATCCTTGACGTTGGGTTTGTTTGTTTTTAGCAGGGATTCTCTCTAAGTACAAATATTCTTTGATGATGCCATCTAAGTCACTTGGGGTTGGGGGATGCTGTGCACATGCTTTTTGAGTTTAGCAGCTAATATCTTTACTGACACTCTTTTGCTGGGGTTTTCATGCATCTCCTTCCCCCATGCAGTGTTTTATTAGGAAACTGCTCACGGGGAATCTGCTCAGAACACAGGGCAGCTCCAAAGGTGGCAGCAATAACCCATCCCAGGCAGGACAATGCAATACGCTTATTGTACAGCATCAGGAGGTAACAGATCTGCAGAGCATAGGAGATCTCCAGGCTTTCCTCTGCATAATAAACTTCCTTGCCTGAATACAAAAGTAGGTCGTTGGTACAGACCAAGGCTCTTTTAAAGGAGCTGTTTGTTTCATGGCTGCAATCTGCACTGCTGGGAGTTCACAGGGAGGAAAAAAAGCTGAATCAGGTCTTAAGTAGAATGGGCTCTGTTGAAGGGTGTTGCAGTACAGCAGTGGGCAACTTTGGCATCACTGCTGGGAAGAAGGTCATCTACTAATTGCATTTATCCCCCTATGACTAATTGAAGCAGATGACCAAAAAAAACCCTGTTTTCTTCTCTGCATTTAGTTGATAGTGCCTTACAATTTCAGTTCCTCTCATGGGCATCTGCAGTAGTTTAAACACTGACACGTATTCTGTCACTTGTTAGGCAAAAAAAGGCCAGTAAAAGGAGCTTTTGTCATTAAACCAAACCTTCACTCTTTCCTATGATTTCACAGAAGAAAAGTAAATATTCCTGGCTTTGGCAGTTGGCTATCATTTCCCAAGGTACTTCTCAGCAGTCCAGTTTTTTGGCTTTTTTTTTTTTTCCCCTGATAAAATGAAGCCAGTTTTCCTTTCTGACCAGCATTCATAGAAAGGGAACCCAAAATCCCTGCTTCACCTGTGCTTTGGCTGGGATTCGGCAGCCAGGTGTGGAAAAGGGAGAGGTCAGATGAAACCATCACTGCCTTATTCTTTGAATACTGTAACCTAGAGCTGTCTCTCCCAGTTGTGGATGGGCATCCTACAGACCAGCATGAAGGCTTGATCTAAAAAACTGCTGCACAGCACAAAATCCTTATTTTTTTTAAGAGTTATTGCCATAACAGAGCCTTGAGTGACTCATGAGGATGACAAAAGGTGAAGAATAAAGCAGACCAGATACTCTGAAATTAAGATAATTCCCCCCCCTTGTTTACAGTACAAAAATTTTATTTTTTTTTGTTAGGATAATTTAAAGTTTAAAACGGAAGTAGACATATTCATTTTACAAACAAGATATTCTTCCATAAGTAGGACTATTAAAAACAGTAAACAAAACAAAAAAATGCTATCTTTACAAAAGCTCTGTGCATAGCAACTTCATACTGAGTGTAACTGACAAAGCAAAAAAAAAAAAAACAAACAAAACCAAACCAAAAAAATCAACCAGCCAACCCCAAACAAACCCCAAAACTATACAGTAGGGAGAAATGAGGCCTTAATTTACAGAAGGGAGAAAACGGTCTTTAAAAAACCATGCATATTGGAAGTGTGCAAAGAAATAGGGAGAGTAAGATGCTATACCAAGATAAATAATGAAATAAAATGTACTCTTTCAAAGTTATGATAGGATCTGTAATTACCTATCGCGACACTTTCATCTTTCTAGTGGCAAAAAGGAAAGTCATATGGGAATATTTAACAGCAATAACTAAAAGAGGACAGATTTGCTTATTACACTGGAAAAAATCCTTACATATATATCTCTTTTTACATTTCCTTTTTGCTGGGTGTTTTGCCACTGCCACTGTCCTCCATTCACGCTCAAGGATTTTTTTGATTGTATTTATTTACACACCTTTTCTCTTTGTAAAGCTACTGGTAACTTCTACGCTCATTTCAATACAAGGATTTACATGCGTGAGCAAAATTTGTGTTGTAAATCATTCGTATGTTGACTTCTTTCATTCTTTTGGCTCAAATCAAACCCCGTTAAATTATGTCTCAGGCAGCCAGACTTGGTTCTTGTCCCATAGAGAGCCCTGGAGGTGCCTTCTGGGGAGGTTTTCTTTTTTATTGGGCTCACAGCTCCCCCAGTTGTGGGACTGAACGGAGCTAATGAAAGTAACTGAGATGTGAAAGGAACGTGTTTGTTAAAAATGTGAGGAATCAAATCAAGGCAGCAAGGTGCTGCCTTTCAGCCTGTGTTCTAGAAGTTTGTATCTGGAGTGTTTCCTGGGCATGGAATTTTGAGTGTAACTGGGATAAAATTAGAAAGTAACCTGAAGAGAAAGGGAGACTGGGGAAAAAAATGCAATACTTCTATGCATTGGAGCTGCTGGAAAATTTTTTAGTACATCAGAGTGGGGGGAACAGAGATGGTCTATTGGAAACAAGTCTGGTAAGACTCATTCTTTTGTATTTCAGGAGTTCTTGGCTTCAATGCTGGTTGTGTTGCTGACCTCCAGTGGTTGCTCCTTCCTTGATGGCACGAAGGACATGCATAGAACCTGCAGTGTCAATGAACTTGCAACCACGATAAACGGTGAGTTATTTTCTTTCATCTTTTCTGGAATGAGACACTTTCTTAGTGTCCTGGCTGTAAGACTGACTAACTGCATCTGTGCTTCTTAAAAGCACATTATTCCCGGCAAATTTCTTTGTAAAGCTGCTTTAAATTGCTACTTTTTCTGATAAATTGGGCCACGAGTTTTAGAAGACAGTAACCTCTCTCTTCCCTTTCTAAAATATGACATGAGAAGCCCTCCTGAAATATCACAGCAGTCAGGAGCAGCACAGAGCTGCTTCCCAATAGGAGGATCACCATCAGGAACAATAGGAATAGCTCAATTCATTGTCTTTGCAGTCCACTGGCTTCCCTGCTGTGCTGCATTCCGGTTTAGAAACACATCCTGCTAACATGTCTGTAAACCAAATACATTTCTCAGAAGGTAAACTGTATGCTTCACCAAATTAAGCTTCGAGGAGGCCCCGTTTTTAGCAGTTTGAACCAGAAGTGCAGTCCCAAGAAGTCAGCTTCCCTGCATCAGGCTATTTACAGGAATGATTTTACACGTTTGCAGAATGCAGTCCTGTGCATTACCTGTCTGTAAGGTGGGAGCCTATGACAATCATACCACGCAACACCGAGCTTCAGGCACTGATCGCTGCAGCTGGCTCTGAACCACAGAGACCTTCTAATCTATTACTAATCCAAATTTGCTCCAAATGGCCTCAACCATTGCTGTTCCAGCTGTCCAGTTCAGGACGGACTCAAGATGGAGAACATCATCTACCATAAATTGTTGAATCACAAGAATACTATTTAACGTATTGGTAAAAATACTGGGCATTGGACAAGTAGTTTTAGGGACCATATATTAAGGATTTATTTATCAACAGAAAGATGCTATCGTAGGAACAACTATTCATGCAGCTGTGAATGGTGTTTTAGTAGGGAGTAAATAGTGTAGCTGACTTTTATTTTCCTCAAAAAATGGCTTTCCAACAAAATCAATTTCTTTTTAGTGGTCTCCGCTTTATCAGATAAGTTGTGATTGCTTTCCTTACATTCTCACCTTCCAACTTCAGGAAGGGAGAAGCAAAGGAGAACTAAATGTCAGTTTTAGGCCAAAACGCAGAAAAAAATCACGCTGGATGCTTCTACAAACTTCAGTGTATAAATGGAAAATACTTACCGCTTGGAATGACTTGAGATAAAAGTGCATAAGTTATTCAAAAACGTATCTTGCCTTTACAAATGCGCCCTTAACACGAAGTATGACTGAATGCAAGGTGTTCCAACTGCACAGAAGAACAATGTTTGAGAGAGCTCTTTCTCTCCCCAGTTCATACACTGAGTGTATAAAGTAAACTCAGTACCTCATGAAGACTCCAAATGGTTCAAATCCCTACGTGTGCCACTCGTTTGCCAATGGGGTCGTTGAAACTTACCAGTTCATCTTAGTACCTGAATGTCTTAATTGAAACAAAACGCAGCGGGGGGGGAAGAGGAGGAGGATGAAAATTTGTACAGGAATCAGTGTTCTGTATGTCATCATGTGTTTATCAGTTTCTGACGATTTTGTTAATTGATCAGAAAGAATCCTATGATATCCTTGCACATGGATTCACTAAGGGGGAAGAAGTGAGGAGCGACCGCAGCAGTAATAATGTATCTTGAACTTGTCACTACATTTTTGCATCATTTTTCTTCATTGTACAACTGGAGGAAAAAATCCAAAAAAGGTTTAATTTCTACCTCTACATACAATAAGTTACAAGTTTATTTATTTAAATAATTGTAAAACATCTTACATTTTTAAAGAGGTTAAACTATAAGCAAATACACACATACACCAAAGTTCCATCACTCGTGTCAGTTTGTCCTAGAAATTCTTTCATGCTGGTACCCTGTTTTGTTGATTTTTTTTTTTATTATTTTTTTTTATTTTTTCCCTGCATAAACTAAATTGATATCTGAAAGGCTCCATATAAAATAGAAACTTCAACTTTTTTCCCCTACAAAGTAAAACAAATTGTATCCAAAATATCAAGCTTGAATCATTTTTGCCAATTTCTTTTTCCTTTTAATATTTTACAAATCTTAGGAAGGTTTCGTGTCTTTCAAGACTTTGCATTTCTGATCCCATTCTGCCAACTGTTGTTTGTCCTCTGGCTCTTGGCTGATTCTTCGTTCGCAGTGTTCTAGGAGTTGATGTGGTTGTGTCAGAAATATCAAACAGGTAAAAGATGCAGCCTTCTGTCTCGTCCAATCCATAAAAAATGTTCGTTTTATTTCCTGGGCCTGGCTTTCCCCCCAAAAAGAGCTTGTAGTGCTATTTATTTTTTTTTTTTTTCCTTTTTAGTGGTCCATCACAATAAGTAGTTTTGTGCTGTAAAAGAAAAATGAAAAAAAAAGAGGAAAAAAGGGAAGAGGGAGAGGAGCAAAGCTGCCTCTTCCTTACATCGGGGGAACGACAAGACCAGTCATGGCTGAAAAAGAAAATTGACAAAGATGAAATGCTGGCATATTTTTATGGAGAAAAGTTTATTTGAGCCCTTCACCCTTCTGTGTGCTGTCACACTTTGCAGCAGTGCATCTATTTGCAGGTTAAATGATGGTATTAAAAGACCTTCAATGTCTCGGAATGGTTTTATGCTTGATTTGTGCTTTAGTGAGAAGAGCCAACAGTGCAAGCCTGACAGCAGCCACAGAAAATGAACAACGTGCCACTTCATTGTGGGTTCCACAGGGCCAGGCCCATCGTGGCTTTTAAGTCAATAAAGGAGAGAACTTAATCCATTGAAGCTCTAATTGAAGCTAATTGAAGCTCTAGTGCGTGAACTTTCAGAAATGCCTAATAATTTTTGGTGCACGTGTCCTAAGACTTCTTGCAAATGGACACTGAAATTTTTGGGACAGTTCCTAGCAGATTTCTCATGCTTTCTCAAGTTGAGCACTCAAAATCATTCTTGAACTGTCAGGACCAAGCGGGGTCCTTGTTTCTCACTCAACCTGCTAATTTGCTTGCAAGAAAAGGTTATGGTGTGAGTGAGGAAGGATAACGTGAAAGCAAACGGGAATTTACCCAGGAACCACTTATGGGACCTCGCCATAGAACTGTGAGTGCTGATTCATTGGAGAATGACCAGAGCTGAGCTTTACTAATTCAGTTTCAGTGGAAATAATGGACCGGCCTCTCTTTCTCGCTTGGTTTACCCCATATGTCTGAATCACTGTAGTCTTACCTGGCACGTTCCCAGAACACCGGGCTTATGTAAATTATTTATTAGTCACTCTCACTGCCTTTAATTGCAGTTATATTCTTCATAACTGACAACGGCAACATTTGAAGCTGCCTGGAACTGGTGCTGTTCCCAAAGGTTTTGAGGGGTAAGTTAAGTTTATATGTATTTATATAACAAATGAGTGAGTCATATTTTCAAAGGGGCCTCAGCGTAGTGCAAGGTCCTAATCCTGTGAAGATTTACGTTCATTGAAATTTGTGGGATTATTCATGTGTTTAAAGCCCTGTCCTCCGAGAATTAATTTCACCCTTATGTTCACAGTGTTTAAAAAAAAAATGCTCAGGGCAAGATCCTCAGCTAACATGACTCTTTTATTGGAGCTCTGTTGATTTTAAACAACTGTGGACATGGTCTGTGATTTAATACAATAGGAAAACAAATATTTTCATATTTTCTATGTGACTAGGGCTAAAATTTCCTGCCAATTTTGACAGCTGAAAAAGAAAGTGAAACTGAACAATCTTGAGTCAAGTATCTGCTGTTCTTAATGGCATTTGTTAGTGTGTTCCAAATGGAGATCTTTTTCAAACAGGCAATTGATATAACCCTAAATGAGGAAGGTAAATATTTGCATGCCTACTGAGGGTCAAGGGGGAAGAGAGTGCATCTGAAGAAAAGAGGCCTTCTGGTCACGTGAGGGGCTGCTCCTCTCTTCTTCCTGACTCCCCCAAACTGGAAAATGACTTTAATTTCCTGGAGGGCTGGGACACTGAAGAGTTACCCACCGACCTGCCTTTCTACCCTCTAGAAAACTGGATTTAAGCCTTAGGTTGACGCCCTTGCCTGGATTCTGCAGTGCTGGGGGAAGAGGCACGCACTCCCTCGGCTGCTCACTGCCATCCACAGGTTTCCCAGCGGAGCAATCTATGTGAGCACTTCCTAATCTGCTTCAGGCAAAATCATCCAAGTTAGCTCAAAGAATTTAAGTTGCTTGTCTGAAGTATCCTGGCTGGGTCTTTTGCCTGAAGCAAAGAAAGCAAGGCTTGCACAGACTGTGCCTGGTCAGTCCTCTGTTTGGATGACTCTGCAGAGAAGCAGCAGTCCCTGTTACAGCTAACATGGTTTAATTTGAGACATCCATAGTCTGCTGTCAGTGTGGTTTAAACTCTGTTCCTAAGGGGGAGAGGCCACACTGGTGTAGGAGCCACTTCTGATACTACTCTTATCAATGTTATTGTCGTTCTTTTAATCAAGTTAAATTTCCAGCAGATCAAAACAAGGATTAAATCTGAGTTTCTTCCAGGAGCCTTCAAAAATATTTTAGGAATGCTTGCAGAGGCAGCATTTTGTAAAGCCCCTTACAGTGAGGGAGGAGCACGTTTTCACGGCGTAATTAAACAGATGACGTTTAGGTCCAGCAGTCCTGGACTCAGACTGCTGCCAGCAACAACAGAATTGCCATCTGCAACCCACTGTGTTATTACCTCTGGGGCTCTGATCTCCCTTTTGCCACCTTTTTCCCTGAGCAAGTCTCTCTATCCTCTCCTTTCGCCCCCCTCAGAAAGTTTGGTTTGTCATTGCAGGCTGTAAATGCTCCGGAGTGGCGAGAAGCCCTTGGAAGCTGTTAGGATGGAATCTGCCCGTGGAGAAATCGAGGTGGAACTGTAAGATAATAAGGACAGGCAATGAGCTTTATTGCTGCCCTGGTGTTTCATCTGAATGTTGCAGCTTCACCTCTTTCTGCAACAAAAAAGGAGGTTGAGGACTGTTGGTTGGGATTCTCACCTGTTCTTCCCCAGCTCACACAAATGCCTTTGCTCTGTGGTTCTCTCTTTCTGCCTACCCTTATCTGTCCATTTCTACCCCACCTCCACTCCCCTTTGGGGCTGCACTGTCAAAAGCCTATTCCCAGCCTGTATCGCTTTTTATTGAATGTTTGTGAGGTTTGGATTAAGGTCTTACACTGCTAGCAAAGCTGTAATTATTTTTGCCTGTATTACTATATATTGAATCGATGTAACTTTTCAATAAAGGTGGTTCAATGCAGGACACTCCCTGATGAGTTGGGAATATAGAAACCACAGTCATTATCCCAGAGGGTGGGTTTTTTTTTTTTTTCTTGGAGGGAAATGGAAAAAGAATTAGAGATGAGCCTTATTGTATTAACCTTGACAGCTTGCAATTATCAACTGAAACACTTGATTAAAATTGTCACAAGGTTGGAGAATTTTTTTATAAATAAATAATCAAACACGGATAGTACCCAGATGCTATGGTGATAGGCACCTTTAATGGCTGTAATTAATAATGATCATAAGCCTAGTGTACACGAGTGGCTCCTGGAAATGCCATCTTTCTCTGCAGTGGAAAGAACTCTGCAGTTCACACAATCATTTGGTAAGAACTGGGGATGGGCTCTGCACTGCTTATGCATTCTATAGCTAGCATAGGTGCTTTGGTGGCTAAATTATGACTTGTTTTACAAACCCCGCTTTCTAAAGAAGAGTGTTGAGCGTTTTCAGCCACTGTGTCTTCCTCTCTCCTTTGGTTGTATGACTCTTTGTTTTCCTCTTTTGCCACAGTTTCCAGTGAACTGCAATCTTACAGTTCTACAGCTCTCCACAGAAGTGAACAATGTGTTGCGGTGGTGCAATTTTGAGCATCTTAAATGAATGCTGCTATCCTGCAAGGTCAGAAATACTTCTGTGCATGAGGTATCCTGCACACAAAGAGGTAGGTTTGTAATTGCAAAAGCCACCAAGCTGTTGGTACCAGATGCAGCTGGTAGGTGCAAGCTTTACCCTATTGCTATCTTTGCTTCCCATCGTGACTACCACTAGAAAATGCATAGTTTCACTTTTAATATTAAGACTGGGGAACTGTTTGTAAAACAATGCACTGTTTTACAAATGAGCAATCAGCTCGGTGTTTTCCTCCAGAAATCCTACCTGTACATTGTGACATATAATGAGCTCCTATAATTAACATCCCATCAAGTGAAGGATAAGCAAATAATAGGATTTTTGTTTAGCTAACTTCTAACAAGTTTGAAATATCTTTTACGACTTTCTTTATTTTGAAACAGTTTGTGCCCCATACATCTCTGCCAATAAACTGCAGAGAAAAATGTACTTCATCCTTATACATCAAATTTAATCAAATGACACGTCAATATGTAAGAAAACTATATATATCATGAATATATCATTTACGCTCTGTAAGGTACTTAAAGCACTGTCTAGGCTCTGGAGTCACTCTGACTTGGCAGCATATCACTGGAGGTTCCCAGCAAGGAAATGCCCACTTTTATTTTCACCTGGTTATGGCTGTTAAGGGTTGGTTTGAAGTGCTGTGTTGTAAGTGCTGACTGGAGCTAAGATTCCAGCTGGCAGGTCAGGCACTGCACTGGTAGCAATCAGGAACAGTGCTTTGGAAATGTGAGCCAGTCGTTCCACCTGAATCCCACCCTCTACAAACTTCTGAGCAACTGTTCTCTCATGACCTGTTTGTACAAACGTTCAGTGCAAGAGTCCCTCGTGTTAACACCTCTGACTTTGTCAAGACAAGATATGAATAATTACGGCCTTCAACTCAAATACATCTATTTCCTTAGGAAATAGTACAGATGTCCCCCTTGCTAAATTGAGACTGTTCCTATGGCTATCAGACTTCAATACTTTTTGGGTTGGCTAGGATCCTGATGGTTAATGGAACATCTGACCTTCTGGGGCTTGCCTGCTATTCCTTGTAACTGAGCTTGCATTTTCATGTTGAGATGTGCTGAGCTGGCCAAAGGTAATCTGGGCAGTCAGCGGTCCATGCTGTTCCAGCAGTTTCCAATTTGCTTACTTTTCCCCATCAGCTGTCCTCCATCTAAGATGAGTTGATTAGGCATTTGTGTACTAATCATGCCGTGTTGCATCACGTCACATTATATCTTCCCAATGCCTTCTTTAAACTCCCTTGACATCTCACATGAATGGAGAATACAATTGTTCTGATCAGGATCACCTGCTCTCAATTTGGGTAACATATAGAACTGAGTGGCATCTAGTATGGATTGCTGCTTGTTCTCTACCTATCGTGTCCTATAACAGTGTAGGAATGTATAGCAGATGGCAGGTGGAAGAGGTAAGCAAGAACACGTGACACAGGATGGGGTTATCTATCAGAGGGCATTCCACAGGTCTTGGCTGAGTTGTGCAGCCCCAAGCTGAAAGCCAGCAGATAGGCACATCTCATGCTTAGCTCATAGTTTTGATTCACAGTGTGTTTTCCTCAAGCTGTCCTGTTATTTCCAGCACAAGATTGTCCCTCAAAAAAACATCTTTGCATCTCTTAAATGGCCAGGAATAATGAGAGTGCTAATCTGAGGATTAAGCTCATAAGGCTCCTGTTTAGACTAGTTTTTATCCAGGCTTAAACACTGCTGTAGTTAATGTATACAGAAGCTACATTCAAGACTTCTGTTGCTGCTTGTAAGCAGAGTGGCCCTGGGGGCCAGGTAGCATTTTTGATGCTATCACTGCAACAGGATGTGATAAGTAGGATGGAGGCTGTATCACTAGGAGACTTTTTGCCTTTCAACAATAGATGCAGGCAAAGTACAACACTGGAGATGTTACAACAGAGCTTAAAAAAATCCCAGCTGGAAAGATGCTTTTGCTGTATTATGGGTAGGGAAACTGGGAGCTGATGTCAAAACCACTGCATGATGTGCTTTCAGTTGGAGCCTGAATATACTTACAGCTTGTTCTGTGCTTTTGCTGATGCCCATGTTAAAATAAAATTTATATATGTATATATATATTAACAGCATGCCTGTTCTTAGCTTATATATTACATGGCAATGGCACAGCAAAAGGAGATTAACAGTGTCCCATTACTGCAGCACAGTAAGTCTATTCAGGAGGCCTGTTTGGGACCCTCCTGTTGACTTTCTGGCCACATCTGTCTGTCAACACTGTGGGAATATTAATTTGGATATCAGGCTGTGTGTAGCTGGACCCTATCCAAATCATGCGTTCCTCAGCATCAATTTAAGAGTTCAGTTGGAAAAAAAACTTTCCATCTCTGGCTGAAATAGTTAAATAGCTATGAAAACCTGACATAGCGAACCTGGGGCAGAGTGGTCTGTGAATCAGCTGCTGTCTTTGCTGCGAGTCACAGCTGTGGTTTGCTGCTGCAGTCTGACTGACAAGTCTCACTGTGCAGGTCCTGTATCTGCTGAAGTCACTTGTGGCTTTATTACTGCTGTTATGTATTGCAGTGCTGAAGTACAAGATTTCCCACAGTGAAGGAGACACAGTGGACTTCTATCGGTGAAAAATGCAAAGATGTGAGTGCTGGGTTTTTAGTTCTAAGATTTTATGTTATATTGAAGTTCCATTACTAGAATCTCTTATTTCCAATTAATAGATTGAATAAAACTCATCGTAAACACTAAATGGCATTAATAGCACAAAATGAGCTCTGTTACTTCACTTATTTACAAAAGGGATTAAAGAAAAATTAAAAAAAAAAAACTCTTGCTAAGCTGCATCTGAAGCAGATGGGACAGACACAGTAAGTCATGGGGCAGTGTTAACTAAAGTTCATAACTAGTCGGTGTGGTTTTGTTACCCAAACTTTTCCTTTCTCCCAGGAAGTGTCTTGACAATGATTTTTCCCTAAACTGATCTGCAGTTAGCTCTGCCTTTGGTAACTTCTTAAAATAAACCTTCTAGCCTGGTGGGTACACAAGTTTGAATTTAAATCCAATTTAAATCTACTCTGAACACAAAGCTGCTGTTGAGTGATTTCTCTTTAGATTACATCCGACTGCTTCAAGCTATAGAACCAAACTACTCCTGAGCTTGATAGCCCTCCTAGTTTGATGTTCAAACCTGTTTACAATCATGTGGCCTTGGAACAGTTTCTCAAAACAGCTAAAATCTCACCATGGGTTTTGTTTGCTTTTATACATATAAAAATACAGTGAAATCAATATGGTCCAACATTAGCTGATAGAACTCAAAAAAAAACAACCAAAGGTAACTGCAGACCAGGTAGTGATGATAACTCTTCAGCGTCCATGATCATACCCGACACAAAGATAAATTTGCCTGTAAACAGTTTAGATAAATAGCCCCAGCTGTTGGGTCAACAAAGCTTTCTTTATGTACAAATCTGTGCACAAAAATTGCTTCAAATACTCCTGCCCTTCTCCTTTAAACAGAGTAGGAAAGAAATTGTGTTCCCTGTCAACATGTTGCCTGTGCATTTACATGGATGGGGCAATGTGTTTCTTTAATGGGGAGGAGATGATCTTAAAGAGGCATGAAGTTTCAGGTAATTGCAGCAGGGGAAGAAGCTGTTTCACATATATAGCAGAATTCTGCATGCTAGCTTTTAAAAATGTAATTATTTTTGTTCAACACACCTAAAATTTCCTTATTATATAAAATAATCACAGCTTATGTAGGTCCCTGTGGCCTGGCTAAGGATTTATAATGCACCCAAATCAACAGGTGCGGTTTGTAGGACTCATATTTAGAATTACCACTGGCTCTTGGCATGGCTGAGTTCCCAGATTTGTTCTTTTTCTATGATATCTCTAGTGAAGTCTGAAGGAGCCAGATGACTTCTAAGGCCCTATAAAAGCTTTCTTTTATGGAGACTTGGAGTGTATTTACGTGCTGCACAACCCCCCCCTCCCCTCCCACAGCCTATTAAAGCAAAGAATTTAATACAGGTTTCCATTCTTATCTTAATACTCACATTTGTTTTGCAGATCACCTTTAAAAAGGCTGTAAATGTACTATAGGGCTTAATTCCCTGCATGAGCCTAAACCTTGCAGCAGGTTTCAAGACATTGGCCATTGTGTGCAGAGCTGTCTATTAACTCTGCAGGGCAGACATTTGTTTTACAAGTCCCTGCAGCTTAAGGAGAAGCCATTCCTCGCAAAAGAGCTGGTATTTAAAAGAAGCATGGGTGAAATCCTTGTTGGTATAAATGAGTATCTGTCCCTCATTGCTTTAACGTGAAAAAGACAAAACATGGAGCAATGCTTTAATCCAGCTGAGTTGGGTCAGACTTTCACTATAGAGTCCTCTAATGGTGTAATGGTCTTTCAGGTGGTTATTGTATTGGCTACAGGTGAACACAGTGTGCTTGGTATATGCCAACTGAATGTGAATTGTGCATTTCTTACCTCTAAACCCATTTCCATTGCCACTGGAGCAGGCAGGAGAAGGAGACCCTTGGGGTCTGATGACGGGAGCAAAGGCACTCTTCTGTTTGACAGCAGGAAAGACGGAAGAGGAGAACGGAAGGATGGAAGAAGTGCTGGAGGAGCCAACTGTTGGACTTGAAGACATTACTGTAAGAGAAGAAAAAGTTATTCCTCATCAGAGATGCAGTAAGACATGTTTGGTGTTGCTTTATATGTCTGTCCTGTTGGCTTGGCTGAGGTAAGTCTAAAGTAGAAGGGTAGTCAGTTATACTGAACAGCTAGGTCAAAGAAAATATGTCTAATTAGTCCAAACTGTAAGAAGAATTAACCAATATTTCTTGTGTTTTCAAATGAATCCCCAAATCTCCTTTAAGTATTAGTTAGAAAGAATAACAACAATATGCTGCAGACTTGGTCCTTTCCTTAATGAAGTCCTGCAGAGGGAAATCAAGTCATGGAAGGAAGAGTGACTTGCCTGTGGTCACCCTCGTAACTGGAAGTGCAATAATACTTACTTCATCAAAGTGAAAATAATCCAGAGTTCAGCTCTGTTATTGCTAATGTAGTACAAAAGTCATTTCAGAATGTCTTTTACTAAGGATATTCAATTCACAGGCAGGGTTCAGTATTCCTCTGTTATTCTTGAAAGAGGGGAACGTTTGTAGATATACTAGAACACAAGTTCTAAGCCTCTTACAGAATTTTCACTGAATCTCAAAAACTTTTCTTGAAAGATGTTGCTCTGTTACTTGATGCAGTAAATGAAATTAAGCAGGGCCAGGCACAAACCTAGAAGAAGCAAAGCACTTACTTCCATAAGGGGATCCTGTTGGAGAGCCGTTAATGAAACCGGGGGAGCCTGGAACACCCAGGTTTGACATGGGGACGTTGCTGTAGCCGTTCATGCTGTTGCTGGAAGTGCTGTAATTGGACTGTTGAGGTGTGGAACTGGATGAGTAACCGCGGGGTGAGATGCTGCTTGTGTTACGAATGTAACCTATAAATAAAACATATTTCATGGAATGCCAAGGAATTTAGCTTAAAACTTTCTCTTTAATAAAAAAAAAAACAAAACCAACCCTGGCTCACAGTTAAATTATTAATTTAAATCCAGCTTAAATGAAACAGCCAAGTAAGTGTAATTAAACTGTGTTCTTTCCCCCCTCAAAGTAAGTAAATAAAAGCCATTTGTTGCCTTTCATGTTTGGTTGCAAAACGTTTGTGGTATTTTTCTTAGCCTTCTTTTCCTCCAGAAAGAGATTTGAAGAATACTACAACTATCATCATTAAAGTACCAGTCTATTGTTACAGCTGTATAAGGGTTTTTCCACTGAAAAGACTTTATTAGAAGGGTGTGATCCAATACTCTCAACTACAGCTACTACAACAGGTCACACAGGAAGACATCCAGATGGGTCTTCAGTACCTCCATCGAAGGAGGCTCGAGTTGAGACACTACTGTTGAAATAACTGAGATTCAATTTCTCACTGTGTGAATTAACACTGTACCGCTTGCACTGCTCACCTTGGTTGTTTCCCTGTGTTGACTCTGAGATGCTGACCCCCAGCTGGCTGCCATAGGAGTTAATGCCCATCATGCTGCTGTGCGCCGGGGAGCTGGACAGCGCAGGGATCTGCGCGGGATTCCGCGGTACGCTGTAGAGAGCTTCTGCGATGTCTGCTGCTCGTTTCAGAATGATGTCCTGCAGAACGAAGGGCACAACTTCAGCAAAGTGCTGGGAGAAAAGTGCTGGAGTTTGTTACAAAAATCTCAAGGCATCCAACTACCCTGCCCAGAGTAGTTACTCTGACCTGGTTGTTATGCGGCGTTCCGTACAGTGCTTCAACTAGGTCAGCAGCTCGTTTCAACAGCATTTCCTACGGAAGGACCAGATAGAGAGACACGTAAAGCAGCTGGAAAGGACAGGAGTCCCGTGCAGGGGGAGCGGCGCGGTGCGGGCGCTGGACGGCAGCGGGCGGCGGCTGAGCGGCGCGCCGGGCCCGGAGCTCTCCAGCGTCCTGAAGGCGGTCGGCCATCTCCGATTTCCAACAGCAACTCGGCTTCCTGCTGGATTTCAGTACATCTTTTTGCATAGATACATCAGGCAAGAACGCAAAACCCGATAGCCTATCATCACGCAGAGATAGGTAGTAACAGTTAGTCTTCTACTGCACTGAAATACAGGAGTAAAGTCATTCATGAGGCTCTCGTAGCGCGAGGCACTGCATCAACAAGCTGTAAGATTACAGACACAGCACTTTCAACACGTACATGCTGCGGTTGTGGCTGCAGAAAGCTGACTTTCAAGTCATCTTTAATGAAAGATTCAGATTAGACCTCTACAGCAATTCCTTTATGCTTATCATATTTAGGTTCAGAGATTTGCCAGCATGGATAAAGACAGAGTATCACAGAATCACAGAATTGTAGGGGTTGGAAGGGACCTCAAGAGATCATTGAGTCCAACCCCCCTGCCAAAGCAGGTTCCCTACACCAGGTCACACAAGTAGGCATCCAGGCAGGTCTTGAACATCTCCAGAGAAGGAGACTCCACCACCTCCCTGGGCAGCCTGTTCCAGTGAATATATCCATATGAATATGAATTGCAAAGATATCTGCAGTCAACGCACATTTTAGCAGTAAAAGAATTCATAGACAGTGCTTGAGTAAAACAGGTAAAACTTACTGGTAGCTATAGAGCCAACATGATCAAATTGTTGTTTGGACCTACAACCAATTAGTGAACTTTTACTTATGTTCAGATATAATTGTCAGTTAAGGTACAATTTTCCATCTTTATGAGTTATTTAAAAGTGAAAGAAAATACTTGCTGGGCTTGGTTGGAATGCTTAAAAATGTTTTTACCTTAGCTAATCTTTCAGGGTCCCCAGGATGTCTTGGGATGACTTTTTGCAGTCTTTGGAAACCGTAATCTATAGTAGGTTCATTTAAAGCTGAAAGGAAAACAGAAGATAACGTATTACATGATTATGTGTCTCAGGCAATACCAAACTTAAAGTCTTGCAAAGAAAGATGAGTTTCACAGCTTCTCCACTGCCACAATATCTAGCAAGTTATGGCAAAAAAACAAAACAAAACAAAACAAAACAAAAAACTCAAAAATTCACATACGGTATTGATTATACAGTCAGAAATCAACAGTACCATATTTGGGCATCTAATAAACACATCATCCACCCTGCATACATTCTGCTATCACAAACTAGGGTGCAGCTATTCATTAGACACATTAAATTCTTTAATTGTATGTGGCTTTTATGCATACGTAACCACTTCACTGTAACGATGTTAATTTCCAGTGGCAAACCAAGAGATCCTTAGTACAAGCTGGTGGAGCCCTGATGGAATCATTGATAATTTCATAAAACTTCAGACATGCTGATAATCTCTACTTTGACAGTAATAATGTAGTTTCTGATTATTCAAAATTAAAATCTGTTTGAAATTAATATAGAAACCAACATCAGCTCTTCAGAATTCTGCACGCTGGTAGGATCTGCCTCTAATATGTTAGGATTATTAGTGTTTAGTAATAAATATATAGATAGATAGAATTTCATTATACTTCAGAATGAGCATTGTAATGTAAATGACACATTCATGCAATCATATGCAAAGAATCTTGCTTAGAATTCCATGAACCATTTAACAAGTGATGCACATAACTCCTGTAGCAATATCCTCATTTAGTGCTGGCTTCTTTCACTTTTTGGTACAATTTCTCCTTCTTCCACAACTTTATTTATTTAACTATTTTTTAAAGAACTGGTGACATCAGCACAGCTGAAAAAATACCTGATTCCAAGAAATGCAGGTGGCATTTACTGACTCCTCTGAAATATTCTCAGCATCTTTCAGGATAACCGTTTCAAACACCGGGAGAATTAAACTATCAAGTGAGACAGACTATTATACGGATCCAAATTCTCTGTTTATCTGTTTCTATCTTTGGTATAACAACATGAAGGTAAAAGGTCATATTCCCCACCGAGATACATTTTATATTTACTTTTTATTAAATAATTATGGCATGGCATGAAGTTTAAATATTACAGGAGATAATCAAGTGGGAATTGTGAAGAGAAAACCCAGACCAGAGAATTTAGTCTTGGCTATACTTAGAATGTCTTTGCTCTCCACTGGGAGCCATTCTGGTTTGCTTAAGGAGTTTAATAATACACATTTCAACTGCCACAGAATCTACATCCCATTTGGGAAGAGGTTTTTTTGAGGGGGTGGGTTGTTTTTGTTGGTTTTTTTTTTTGCCAATAATCCTGAGAATTATAGGCCAATTCTCTCACGAGCCTATACATCACTGTGTGCCATTTCTCTTCTTGATTACGTCTAATGAGTTATGTTGCATTTTTTAGATATAAGCAAGAGCAATGTAAAATATACAAGAAATATAACATATATCTATATATAGTTAACTAAAATTAGCTAACGGGAATATACAGCATTCTAATTCAGGAAAAAGAAATAGGCTGTTATTCAACAAACATTTTTCCAAAGTACTGACATGGATTTTTTTAAAATTCTATTCAGACAAATAAATAGCAACAAATAAATTCTCAACAATGATGAACTGTCTAAGAACTCAACCATTCACAGTTCATGCAGATATTATGCCTCTTGTCAAAAAAGGTTTTCTGTATGATCTGTAGTAAAAAAGATTGCTGCTTATTTTACTCATTAATGAAACAAAACTATCTCTGTCATGAAATCCTGCAAAGAAACATGTGACATTTTTGGAAATAGATGGTACCTTTTCAACTGAAGCTGCAACAGGAGAGGTGAGATGTAGACTCCACCAGCAAGCTTAAACAGCTTCACCACAATACCACCTCCACTGAGAAAAGAACTATTGGATCAGCAGTGATTTATCTATGTGTTACATAGACTGTATGTCAAAGTTATATCCAAATGCTTTTTGGTTCCTGGTAGAGACCACAAAGAGATAGGTATCCAAAGTGAAGCCCTCCAGAAAACTGACTGAGGCATAGCAAAATCTCTTTGACTGCTCACAGATCCAATGTTTCAGGCACTAAGGGTCTCTTGAATTTCCCAGAAAGTAACTTAAAAAATTGTTCATGACATGAGACAGCATGTGCACAAAAGAGCACTCATCTAGAAAATAAATACATTGTTGGTCAGTTTATAAACTGCACTCTGGCACAGTTGTTAGAATTATGTTATAGAATTGTCACAGTCAGCAGTAGGGAAAGATCTGAATGCCCCACAGCCTGCCTGGCAATTTATGACAAGACCCAAACAGAGTACAGCATAATGCTGCCTCTTTTATATCATTACTTATCCTAGATAAACCATGCTTCCATTTTAAATACAAGTCTCCAGTTACTGTGGCCCACTGGAATATGATGCCGTGACACCTGTCTGCATTTGCACAACCTGAAACAACAGCTCAGTCCCATTCATCTCAACGGGGACTAACTCAGATACCCAATGATAACAGTGCTGACATTTAAAGTATTAATTATTTCACCACACATCAAAGCACATAAGACTGGTGAAGGAGGAGGATGTTTTGAAGATCTGCACAATTTACCATGAGTGACAGCTCGCTCTGATATCACAGTGATGCCCTGGGAGATGCGTGTTGTCCCTCTCCGCCAGTCAAAAAAGGGCCTCAGTCGAAGCTCTTGGCAAAGTTCTGCAGCTTGCCTATGCTTTACTCTATGACACAGAGCAAATGCCAACAAGCCCACTGTTTGCAAAGCATAAATGAGAAGAAAGAAGGTATGCATACTTCTAGACGTATCTGGAGCATAGAAAACTGAGCAAGGGAGCATATTTAATACTTAGAGCATGAGCATATTTAATACTTAGAGCATGACACCTAACCTTCAAGAGCTTAACATACAGAAAACAAAGCACAAAGTCTTGGACTCCAGCTTTGCACTGAGGTCTGCCATCACTCAAACCAACAGTAAAGAGATGCTTAGTATTCACCCTACAGAATAAAATATTTATCTTCACATTGCTGACTACAGAAGATCTTTGCTTACAGTCAACAGCAATTCTGTGCATTGGGAATCATGTGCATCTGGTCAGTCTACTCGGAGGAGTACATTAGGACCTAGAGACCTAGAGTTGGAAGGATGCTACCAGAAGTACACACCTTGTGCTATATTTGCTGTTTCAGTAACAGCTTTCTCAAACACCACGCTCCCAACACAGCAATGTCTTCAACAGGCTGAAGGAGCCCATTTGCTCTGTGCAAATGCTTACAGATCACATCAGTTGTGTTCGGGCCAAGTGAACTCACTCTTCCAATTTCTAGAACTCACTGTATCCTTGTAAGCCTTGCTTTCCACAAGCAGATAACAAGAGCTTCTCAAACCTACTTACAAGCTTTAGTAAAACAGTACCTCCTATCCTTGGTACCTGGCACAGAAAGTGAAACACCACAGCCTGGGAGACCAACATATCCTACAGATTAGTTTATATTGCATTGCTCTGACAAGTTAACTCCAGGAGGATTTTTGCTCAGCAAGGAGAATTATGTTCAAAATCTCCCTGAAATACGCATTTCCAGGTTAGAAACTGTATGACAAAGTAAATGCAGAGCTGTGATCAAACTTAAGATACGAAAGCCTACAAGACATATCTGCAGCTGGCGTAAACTGAGGTAAGTGTTATTAAAGTCAATGGAGTTATAATGGCACTACTTAAAGGAGCAGAGAATGTGAATCTGTGTAGTATTACAGCAGAATATGAGGCTACTGCTGGATTAGCAGCAGGGAACAAATGTCCTGTTTTAAGAACAACTGATGATAGAGAAGTAATACAGAACACAGAGGTGCATGTGTAACCTGTATTCACACCAGTTTAAGGTTTATTTGGAGGATAAATATTTAATTATGGTGATTTAAAAACAGACTTATCACTCTTATTATACTAACTACTGATGTCAATTGGTTCAGCAGCTGCCACTGCCAGTAACAAGCCATTCCACTAGATTTTTGCCATACTCCAGGACATTGTTGGACAGCCACAGAATCTTATTGGCTTCACCCTTAGAAGGGTTTTCCATCTGGCATCTGTAGGGAAAAGTCCACACATAACATTTTGGTGATGAGAGGAGTTTGATGGGTGAGATGCAGCACCCTGAATGATAGCACTTAAGAGTGGAAATGCTGACAGAACCATAACTACAGCAATGCCAGCACAGCACACTTTGCTAGGAGCCCATTATAAATACACATTACAGGATGCATATGAGCTCCCATAACAGCTCTGCTGTGGCATTTAGATTTACCCTTGAAATTTATATCTGATTTTTATACTCATCTTTTTAAAACTTTATCATTTTCTTTTTCAAACAACCTGCATTGTTACTATTAAAAAAAAAAAAAAGACCAAGTATAATCAGGTCAAACATTAATATTTGATGGTATATTAAATATTGAGGGCACAAACAGAAACACACTTCACAATACTAAGATCACTGCTTTTCTGCTTCCACATTTTAGGAAAGTATTGGTGGCCTGGTGACAAAAAGATCTGCCTAGGACCTGGGAGATCTGTTCCCCTGTCTTCAGCTTTCCTGCACAACCACAGGCAGTGCTTAATCCTTCTTCTTCTTCCCATGGCAGTTCCTCATGTACAGAAAGGAAGCACATGTCTGACGCAGCGAGGCCCTGATGAACCTTTCAAGGTCTGGTTTTCTATGAGTAATTATCATTGCTATACCTGTGATGTGCCTATAGCCAGCTGCTCAGTAGTTTTAAATGACTTGACCCTTCGTGCTTTCCATCTGAGGTTATCTCAGCACTTAATAATTATTAAGGACTTAATATGACATGACCCTGCTGGTAGTGGAGCTGCTCGTTGGTGCTGCTGTTATTAATTCTGACAGAAGTACATCTTCCCATGCTTTCACTTTGCAGAATTTCACACTCCTCAGTCTCCTGGGCTAGATATTAATGTCTCCACATTTCTTCAATGTTTGCCAAGCGCAGGTTGGATGTAAAGGGGATATATTTAGAGGAGAAACTCCTGTTTATAGAGACAACCACAGTTCAAGAGAGAAGTGGTCTCATTTGCATCCCCAAGCTGCCCCATTCTCTGATGGTTTGTCAGATAGAAGCTGTGTGACAGCTGCATCGCAATATAAAGCACTAAGAGTAACACGAAAATAATAAGATCAATTCTCACAAGAAAATAGATTTTCACTGTGATGCACTGGACTACCTCCTCAATAATAGAAAATATATTGAACTTTCCTGTTCAATACTTAATACATTTGTCTGCTCTACTCTTCCCAGCACAGACCTGCACTTCTGTGGTGCTACTGAGTATATTTCACAAAGTGCTACGGACACATACATGTTCTCTGCCATTTAGATAACCTGGTTTCCTGGGGTTGGCAGCTTCTCTCTTGTCTTACAATGTGATCGGAGCTCTGCAGCCTTTCCTTCAGTGGAGGATTCAGATCTCTCCTATGAATTCCCATTTCTATAAAGCATGCTAGAGCTGTGCATCTTTGATGCCTCCACTTTTTTGACAGAAACTGATGGTTCAAAAGTTTTGGGAGGGTCCTAAAAGGACTCACAAGTGGAAGGACCTTGACTGCACGAACACAGCTTGCCTGGAGTAAGGACTGGTGTTTGTTCACAGCAGTTTTCTGATATCACAATTGAGGAGAGAAAAAAATAAATAAAAAGCCACCATGTTATTTTCATAGCTAAGAAGTTGTTTTTATTGCTATTAGCAGCAACGACCTGGGGGAATTGATTACACAGGTGAGCCTCTACCTAATAGCTGTGTTTATCATTTTGCCTGCCATGGTGGGAGAGCTGCAGGTTCCCATACAGACAGATTGAAACGTTGTCTATTCTACCCTTGCTCGGCATCTTTCATGAAGTGCTGCTTTGTAACATATGGCAGTGAGCACCCACTCACTCCTCTGAGAATGCTAACAGATATCCCTATGCCAGCAACAGCAGTAACACAGGGATAGTAGATTTAACTTTCCTCTCTTCCACCAGCTCCTACGTACGTCTTCATGTCCCCTTTAATGGAAGCACACTAATTAATATGTCAGAGAACTGCACTACAGTCTGACTCCAGTCCCCCTCGCTGGTACAGATAAGTCTTGCAATCGAGACAGCTTCACAGTAAGAAATACACGTATTTTCATAGACAGATGCATAGTTCTATTTTACACATCTCTGCATCACTCCGCTCCTAAAGCTCTTTCAGCACTGGTATCAACAGCACTCAGAGAAAGGCCCTCGCTTTGTGTTGAAGAACTGCAAACCCAGGCCTAACCAAGCAAAAAAAAGTATAGGAAAACCTGACATTTTCTATCTGCAATAATAACTAAATAATTAACACTCTCTGAAGGTAAAAGCATCACACCTGATGCTGCCCCTAAGAGCCCTTCACTGCACATAAACCAACAACCTTTGGTAGCTTTGGCCAATTATCAGTCAGAAGATGCATTAGAAGAAGATGCATTTCTAAAGCTTTTGGTCAGATCCTGATCTCACAAGTCCAAGCCTAATTCCAGAACGAATCTATTCTGCTTCAGGACTGTTTTGGTGCAAGATCAAAAGAAAGTCCTCATTATCATTCAGTCAATGGATATAATTCTAATGCCTTCAACCAACCATGGATCAGATCACGGTCATAACAAAAATAACTCTATGTCAGTTAAGCTCATGTTTCTTCAGAGCACCACATGTCATTTAACACTTCATTCTTGCTGCGAGTTTCTAAGTGTGACAGTCATGAATAAAAACTTCCCACATATATAGCTAACAGTAATTTAGCATTTGTACTAATAAAGAAGATATAAAATAACATATGACAGGAACAGGAGTCTCACAAAGCATTGGTTCTTCCTAAAGTCTCTGATTTCCATTCAAATTTTTCCAGTTTTAGGAAAATTCTAACTAGTTCACCCAACATGTGGCTAAGGTTTTCCCTTAAAATTTTTAATAAGAATTTATTGGACCTTCATCATTACTTTCAATTGATTGCTTAAAATCCAACCAACATAATACTCAAAGACTAGTTCATGATGGTTATTGGTAAGAAGAGGCTTTCAAAAGCAATAATTCCTTGCATTTTGAGAAACCTGAATGTGATCCAGTGGGAGCAAGTCCACCTCTTTAAATACAAACCCACCCTTTAAACACTTTATATGATCATTCTCCAGACAAGGCTAATAAGGTACAGAAAGTTGAGCACACACATTGCATGCCATTGCTGGCCTGATGTTCAACGAGCTGCTCATCTGCTCCCATCTGATTTTTCCTGTCCAATCCACGGACTGTTCTCTCCATAACATCAGTGTTCTCCTGCTGGCTGAGGTGAATGTAGGGCACTAAATAAGTTGATAATCCATTTAAGAATAGAAAAAAAACAAACAATTGTACTTATTTCCTACTCAGCTCATTGGCTTCTCTCAATAGAAGACGCTCCTTGTCCTCTGGGATTACCTTGAAAATGAAAGGTTACCCTAGTGAGGAAGAAATATAAAATAAAAACTGCTATAAATAAAACATCTTCTGATATAAGGAGCAATGTTACTGTGTTACTGTACATCCAACATACGCACGGAAAGACCCATAACAAAACAGCATGAGCTCTATTCTAGAACTATGAACGTATACTAACAGTTGCTTAACACCTCTGCACAGCAATGAAGCTGCCCTATCCAAATGTCACAACTGGCAGAGTGGCCTTCAAACAGCAAGAGGCAGAACAAACAAACAAACAAGCAAAGCACAGAGTTGTCAGTAGTGCTTACCAAAACAAAGAGGCTCAGAGCTTGAGCTCCTCCAGCAAATCAGAAGCACCTACCTGTGTAAATAAACCTGCCTGGGGCGCCTTTGCAAAACTGTTTGGATTTGTATGATAATGTCACTTCAACCACTCCGGGAATGTGACGTGGAGGCGTCTGAACTCGAATGGCATGAGGTGTGATAAGCTGGGAAATGACAAAAGGAGAGACACAATTACATGGCTGTGTTATTCCCCCTGCTTACCTGCACCCTCCAAATGTGCTTTATGAGTAAGTGCACTGCTTAATGCTGTGTAGCAGATGCTACGGATTAGGCAACTGATATATCTTGAGTCATTTCTTACCTCCAGGAGAGGAAAGAGCATTTTAGGATAAATTGTCATCAAGGAAAAATAGTATTACTTATACCCATTATTTCTGGACCCAGAGGGAATTCTTTCTCCTTTACAAACTGTTCCTATGTTCACTCCTCCTTTCTCTCCTTCTATACTTTTACCTGTCTCCAGACCCCGAGAGTTATTCAGTCCTACTCTGGGTATTACTGAGCAGTTGGCCTCAGTAGTATCACAGAGCAAGTAGTTCCCCAGAGTAGATTTCTATGAATCACCTTCCTGGAGTTTTACACGGCCCATCTTACGCACCACCATTTTTGTAGCATTACTGGAATGGGAAATAATGCTGCTCCCTCCCTACTTTCCAAAGAACAGCAGTGTTCCTTCAGCTTGGGAGGTGCTCCTACCTACCTCACTCCACACAAGCATGGTTCCAAACACTACTTGAAGCCCATCAAAGAAGTTGTCTCCAATAATGATCACCATTGCTCCTCCTGTTGTCCACCCTTCGCTTGGGCTGATTGCTTTGATGCAAGGTGTGGCTGAACAAAACCAAAAGGAGAGCAGAGCGTCAGATAAGGGATTTAACACGCTGGGTGTAAACCCTTGCAGAAGATAAGTGCAAGCGACCTCTGTGCACGTGAAGCAGTCCTAAGTCATACTGGGGCAAACCGTAGCTTCACCTGTCTGCTCCTGGGACTTTCTGCACTGCTGCAGCTTCACACTGCCACGAATTCCCCAGTGCTGACAGAGGCCTAGGACATGTCCCTCCAGCCAGTCACCCGTGAAGGCTGCTTTTCCATTCCAGAAAGCCAAAGAAGGGAGTAAATAAATAAATAAATACAAATACATGCATGTTTTCTGCCTTGCTAGTGTTAATTACTTGCCTATTCATTACCAGCACTTAACACCGTGTCATTAAAGCCCTAATAGGCCAACTGTAGTGGGTGTAAAAATGAAATGCTTAAATGATCATGCAGAGGTTGTTTTAAAAAAAAAAAAACAACACCCACACTCATTAGCATATGATCACACAAAAGCTAAACCCTGTGCAGAGAGACGTAGATCAAGATTTATTAGGTCTATCAGTGGGCAAGAGAGATACGGAAACATCAAATGTTTCCTCCAATTCTTATCAGGAGACAATTTCTAACAATTTTCTTGGTTTTGTGGAATAGAGTTTTTTTTTTCTTCTCTCTTCCATATGTTCAAGGCCTCTGGACTATACATCCCATCAGGAACCCAATATGGTTTCCAGGCCATAACCAAAGTCAATCCATCACTCCATTCCCAATGTTGACAGGGTCAGAGGTGGAGGGGAACTTTGGCAGGGCTCCAAAAACATGAGACTCCTTTGAACAGCCAGTCAATCACATCCAATCAGTCAAGGAAAAACTGGATGGCTTCCTAGGCTAGGAATCCTGGGATTTTCCTTCTACCATTTCACTGCCCGCTGGGGGAGAATTAACACCACTCTGAATTCTTTACTGATTCAATCATTTTCTTCCAGTTCATTAATTCTTCTTATAGGTTGATATAGGGCACATTTAAGGAGTGGGGCAGCAAAACATTATAATGAAATAATATCCCTGCTTGTCTTTTCTGCTAACATCACTAGCTCTTCTCACTTTCACTAGCTGCAGGGGAGGGAAAAGTAGATACATATAGCATTTGCTAGTAATTTGGAGTACTGTCTGCATGAGAAGGCAGAACGCGTTGGTAATGAATGCACGAGAAGAGGGAGAGGAGGGGCCAACCACTCTGAAACGTAACAGACCCAAGTATTTGTAATTAATACAGTCCAAAACCATCCTGTAGACGGCCGTGAGCCTTGCTTAGCCAAACAAACTAAAATCAATTAGTGTCAGTTTCCTTCTGTGCATTGTTATGCTTTGCACATAGTTTGTTTAAGGGAAGCAGTGACACTTTTTCATACACATCTTGTGCTGGAACAGTTCTGTTTAACTAAGATGTCATGTTGCCTAATTTGCCTGAAATCAAATCAATCCCAGCTGAAAAAGAAGTCCGAATTTTAGATAATACTCAGTATTTCTGCGTTTTTCATCTCTTCAGGACAAACTAGTAAATGAATTGGGAGGGGGAGGAGGGAAGCCAGCATCTTATACGTGAAGAGGATGATATTTTGCATGCAGTAGACACTGTTTTCCTGCCTTTTCCTTCTCTAAGCCCCCTGAGGTTCTGTAGTTCCCTCTTAGCTCTCCTTTCCTCCTGAAAATAAACAGAAATTGAGGAATGGGTAACATGCTTTTGGACTCATTTCTGTCCCACTCTTCATACAGCATCCTACCTTCAGAGGGGTCGAGTCTCCTTGCTCTCCGTCCATGCTTGGAGTTGTTGTGAACAAACATGTTGTCAGACACTGCCAGCACGTGCCCATCAACATTCACTGTTGTGGATAGCACAACCTAGATATTTTCAAAGGGAAGAAAAAGGAGGCAGGTAAACAGCTTAGTTGGATATTCAGCTCATAATGTATTAATTATTCAGTTTAGTTAAAATCTTATTCTGTTTGTAAAATGAAATCGTATCCTGCAGGTTTTACTCCCTAGCAAGAATGGGAGAAAATATTCTCAGCCTTTACTCTGTGCATTAATTCCATTTAACATAGCATCCTAAGGGCCATATAAAGTCCTTAATGTATAATGAACCAGCTACTGCAGATGGCCCTAAATTTCGTTTCCTATGATGCACCGTAGCATAGCTGATGGCAAAGAGGTCTGTATACAGCAACCAGGAGGACAGGCTGCAGAGCACCGCAGCAATTTGCCCTCTGATACATACATGCAGATTCAGAGCCATCTGCTGTACTGCACACACATGCAAATGCATCTGCTTCAGAAATAAAGGTCTCCATTGACCGAGCAAAAGAGAAACTCCTACGACGTGAAAAAAGTACCTAATACGATGGCTGGTTTTTACATATACAGTCTGAGTGCCTCTCAGAAAACACCTGAGCCTGAGCACACAGAGTCAAGCACCACATTTGAAAGCTTTGGCCTCCATGGCTTCACTGCTGGGCTCCGAAGGCGTAGGAATTCTTAGAGTAATTGAATATGTTAATGAATCCTGCTTCACTCTCCCTTTCAAACACAACGTCCCAAACCTGTCTTTAAACCACAAACTTTAAAGAAAAAAAATAAAAAACGATCCTGCATTTTAAAACTGAAAAAAGATGCATCTTGTTGAAACTTTGGGGTTTTGGCCATCAGTTGGCACAAATCAGCTCAGCCCCACTCAGCTGCCACGCAGCAATAGAAACCCACAGCTATTGAGGATTTGACCCTGGACACATTCATGAATTTTCACAGACACAGCTGGCGTGGTCCAGGTAAGAGAATAGGCTCTAATTGCTGATGAAGCAATACTTATCACACAGCATGAGAAACCTTGCCCTCCGGCAGGATTCTGCAAGTTTAAAGAATACTTTCTTTCTCGAGACAAGTTTAATTCATTCCAAAAGGCTCTTGTCATACCGTGCTCTTATATTTCCCAAGCATTCTTGTCACAAAATGTGTTGCTTTCCGTGTGCCAACGGATTTCATCATTGCACATTTGGGTGGAGTGAGACTCCTATCCAGGGTGAACGCTTCCCGCATGACATAGCTGAACCCACTCAGATGCACTTCATTATTTTCCGTTAAACAATGGAAATAAATTTTAATCTCTCACTGGCCAGCGCAGAGCACACTGTGGCAACAGGGGAATAGGCCTGAATTATTCCAGTGCCTGAAATATTTACGACAAGTGTTTAAATTGCAACCAAATGTAAATCAGAAGTATATCATATATATACAGTTACATTATATAATACATACATACCTGACCTCACATACACAAGGTACGTATGTGATAAATGCACACCCATGTGCCCTCGGTATGGGATTTTTTATAGTATCTGCAGACTCAAGGATGCACACTCCCTGTTTGAAAACCCACTTGGGTGTCAATGCTGCACAAAAAAAATGAGTCCTATTTCAAGAGTAATAGCAAAAAAAAGTCCTGCGTTTAGAAGCTGAGTGTTGAGCATCCTCAGTTCCAGCTGAAGAACCTCTCCCCGTGAATGGTTCCATTTCTATTTACCTCTCCTGTTTAATCACAGGAGGGTCAAACCCAGTTGGCGTTCCATCAGCTGGGCCCTATGGTAAATAACTGCAATCCTCAAGGATAGAACAAAAGCAAAGTGCAGATCTGGACCAGAACCTTCTCAAAGTTTTAGACCTTCTTTGCAGTAATCTTTAAGGCACTACTAAAATTCAGCACATATCTTTTTCATGGTTACTATGACACAGCAAGCCAACTCATTATCAGTGCTGTGGAGTAAGAATATGCAAGATTATGGACGTAACAACTCCTGAGCTTCTCTACTTTGGTTTGGTCATTCCTTCTTGGCTGGTGAAGATGGCAACCCAATTGTTTTATACTGAAGATTAAAAAATAATGTTTTATGGATAAAGGGAAGAGGAATGCGCATTCCACTCTGGTCTCTAACTCCCAGGCCCTTCCCTTTCACAAGCCAACTGCTTTCCCCCAGTGAGTATTTCCTGGGTCATGAAGGGTGACCCTTTCCATCTGGAATCAATCAGTCAACTCCTGACAACTTCCTGAAACACCTCACTCCATTTCCTGTTCTCTCCCCCTTCTCCCTTTCCCCCTGGTTTGCTTCACTCTTCAAAACTGCAGGCCACAGCAGCTTAATGTTAGAGGGTCAGACACAGTTAGACTCCAAAACACTACATAAGAACACCTTTGACCTTCAAAAATCTTTACATCTTAGCTAAACAAATCAAGGTCAACGCTTCTTACCATTACCTTGTTAACCATTTCTAGGCTTTTTTTTTTTCTTTTTTTTTTTCTTTTTTTTTTTCCAATACCTTTCTGAACACATATTTATCAATAACACTTGTTCTCCCAACATCGTAAAACATCCCAAGCCTTTTTGTAAACCTGTGTTTAGTGCTGCTGAAAGGCAATGTGCAAACTGCTCTGGAGATTTAAGTTCTCAGATTTGCCCACAGCACTGGCAAATTATTGACAAATGTTTTGGGGTTTCTGTTTCCAGATCTGATGGCTCGACTTCTTGCGTGTGGAAATTCAGCTTCTACACCAATTCCATTTGAGATCTTCTTGCTAAAATCAGTAGTTAATGCAAAACACAATTCTGAGGAAACGACCTGAGAACATCAAAATATGTCAGCTAGAAAATGCATTCTGGTAATTGTAGCTTAAGGCCAAATTTGACATAGATGGCATAAATAAAAAAGATGTTATGCTCCTAAACAGCTGGATCACCCAGTCACCTCCAGTGGAGCTTCAGAGGACAAGCACCTGAGCAAGAAACAGACACAGCAAAGTGCTCCTTCAGCCACCAAAGGTGGGTTCCATCTACAGCAACAGCAAGGGAAGTGCCAGCTTCTCAGCAGGGCTTCCAGCAGTTCTCCAGAATCTCTTTGCACATCTGCAAGGGTCTCAGAACCAGCTATGAAGCCACAGACCTGGAGCAACGATTCTGCAGCAGTGCTGAAGAAACGTGTGGTTGTTTTTGCTTCCCAGGTGGATTTCTGTAATGTGCTCCCTCCTCAAAAGCCGCAGTGAGGGCTCATCACCTCCCCTGACATTCAGTCAGACCGGGTTTAGCACATGGCACTCAGGTTCCCCGAGCTGGATTGCCCCTCTTCCATTTCCCTGCGCAGTTCAAAGTGTTGGTGTTACTTTACCTTAAAGATTACCTCTCTGACTCTCCAGTACTGACAGCACCAATCAGTCTAACAGTTCACATTACCCGTTTTCAGACTAAAATCTTCAGCTCTGGCAGCAGCCGTTCTTCGTTAATGACTGCGTCCCCTGCAGAAGCCCACTGAAGGGTGGGCGATGGGGCAGGCACATTCTGCACCTACCTAATGGTACCTTAATGAAAAGTTCAGAAATACTACAAATTCTTGGTCAGAGGCACTGCAATCTTTCCTCCCCCATCTGTACATTATATTGATACCTCATTAATATAAACTCTGCTCCTCTTCAAATCGCATATGTGCAAGGAAATACCCAGCATCTACGTACAAAAGCTGCATCACTCGTAGACACCTATTCAGACATATGGTACAAACATTCTAGGCATAGAGGCGTTTATTTACATGTAACATATCTCATCACTGTGTAAATGATCTCTCTCAAAAAATTCCTGTTACCATTCCAAGTGTGGAAAAAATTCTTATGACATTGTACATCTGGAAACAATATTACATTCCTGATGCACTTTCCCTTACATCTCTCTAGTCACAGCACCATGTTATTTTAACTTTTCAGAAGAATAACTACTAGGAGGATTTTAAAAATTATTAGCGTTATTATTATTTTCCAGCTGGGTGGAAGAAAAGATGTCAGGCCTCATCCTGCTGTCTTCACTTGGATGGGGCTCCCATTGATGTCAACAGGCGTTTGGGTCGAGTAACACAGGAGTAGATGCTATAATATGTGTTTGCTTCATAGTTGGATTAGGAATAAGATAAACAGAGAGGAAAATGCCAGCAGCTTCTCTCTGCTCAAAACTTCCATCAGATTCTTCGGGAAATCCCCTCTGATACCCTAAGCCTGCTGAAAACTGGGAGCTGATAGGAGCTCTGCACGTGGCCTTCATTTTGGGAGTGGGGCCTCCTGCCATTTTAGGGGCACTGGGTAGGAGATAACTCCTGGGTCACTGCCATCCCATCTCCTGCTGTTACAGACGACTAAACCACGCAGCCACTTCTAAACAACTGTCTTAAACCAGTCGAGCTGGTGCCTTTGGATCTCGTCCTGTTTTAAAGCCTATGTCTCCTGATGGTGAGGAGCTTAATGGTTTACAGCCTAAGTTCATTTGTAGTCAGTTCACACGTAGCACTAGCTCTGAAATTACTATTTCCCATTCTGATCTATCTCAGGATATTTTCAGTTATGCCCTTTCTCAGTGTGTGTTCCTGAAGTATAAGAGCTAAGTACCCCTCCCTATTCCACAGTGCTCCAGTCCTGCACCTGTACCAATCCCATTTCCATTCCGTTTAAAATCAGTTAAACCAGCACACCATATTCCTGACACAAACACATCCTTCCTTCTACCAGCAGAGTTTACCTGAGATCCAGTAGGATCTTATTTATGGTCTGCTTTAATGGATGATACACAAGTTTGGCAACCCACGGTTGTAATGGCCATTTGGCCCCCAGATCTGAGCACACTGAGCTCTCTGAGTGGTTCAGTTGCAATCAGTCCCACCCTCACATATATAGACTCTAAAATAACATCACCCCCAGTGAAGAATTCTGCCAGCAGTAGCTGGACTCTGCTGGTAGAAGTTGCTCTCATTTTGCAAGCTATAGCTGGGAAATGAATCTCCCATAATGACATCAGTTCCTGTAGTATTCATCTCTCTAACAGAGATCTCTGTCCACATCCAGATCTGACTGTGGGGGTCCTTAGCACGTTCTCTCTCCATCAGTCTGAAAGTGATTTTGATTTAGACCAGTTCTGTTTTCCTCCGGCCATCCCTTTCTGTTTCTTCAAACAGTGCAGCATTCCTAAACCTCAGCACCATCCGACTGCTCTGACCCGTTTTATTCCTTCCCAAACAATACAGATCCTTCTGTGCTTCATACTGAGCCGAGCTGGGTGAATTCTCAAACACAGCCAGCTTGGCTCAGGTGCCTGATGATGAACTGATCCAACCACTCCGAGGTCAGGAAGGAAATCTCCCCAGGGACATACCTTGTTATTTTTCCTTTCTCTTTCTCCCTAGAGCACCTAGAGGGGAATACTTGCCAGGAAACATTCCATGTCATGATTTCTGCAGAAAACAGAGGACAGTTGCCGACCTTTCTCTTTTCTGTTACTAAAAAATGATGTTGATTCAAAGATGACCATCATTAGCTCTTCTGTTGCCCAGTCCCATTCACAACCACAGCACTGTAGGATCTGTACAACCAGAGTGAGTGGATGCAGCAGAATTCCCAGTCAACAGGAGGCTAATGCTTTAGCACCAGGTCTCAGCTGAAGCATTTTAGCTGAAGCGCCTCATCTTAATTCCACAGAATTATTGTCCCCCATTACACATCGGTCGTTACCATTAAGTGTCATTGGGCTTCAATCAAGTTCTCCAGGAGAAGTCCTCATTAAGTGGAGGGCATCACTGCTTCTCTTTTAATTCTGTTTCTGGGAGATCACTCACTGAGAGTGCAGCAGTGACAGTAATGACAATACACAGGAAAGCTCAGATTTGCAGATCAGTTGAACTCGAATAGCGCTGTGTTTGAGCCGGTAACTTAAGCTTTCCTTTTTTGTTGTTGGTTTCATTTTTCACCTTTCATTCAGAAATGTTTTAACTGATAAATAATCAATATTTGCTTCGGCTGAATTGACAAGAATGTATTCATGTGTGCATGTGGGCAGGCAACAAGTAACCATAAAAACATCCATTAGCAATAGAAAGATTCCCCATCCTTACTGAGTCACAGTAAAATTACGTTATTACTGGGAGAAGGGATGTTAAAATAATGATCACATGTCCTTTAGCTTCTGAGGTGCAACACATTTCAACAGTAGAAAAATATTAGACGTGTAAGCTCTGTAAAAGTTGAGAGATTTTCATTTCATCTGTGAAGATCTACTTAATATCAAAGCAAATTTCAAACAGTTAACGTGATCACAAAGCAGCTGGTGTTGCTTCCAAACCAAAGAATTATTCTTAAAAACAAACAAAAAACAAAAACTTAAAAAAACCCAACCACAACTCTTCAGGCATCTGGAGCTGAATTAAAATTACAATGCAGTGTTAATGTAACCTTTATACCCTTTCTTCTCCCCACCCCCAGGTTGTGTTTTTTTCTTTTTTTAAGTGGGTGTGATATAAACGAAATCTAACATTTAATTTAGTTTAACAAACTGTAACTATGCTACACGAGAGCTAAATCTTGTATCTAGAAATACAGAGGCTGAGGCCAGGATCTGCATCCCAGTTCCCTGGAACCAAAACGAACAGCTTCACACCCATCTCTAATCAGAAGCATTGACTTGACACTCTTCCAGACATGAGTAACCATTCATCCCTGCTTGGAGAACTCAGTAAGCTGTGTTGTGCTGCACAATTTCCATGTCTCTTATTTACATTTCTGTCTCAACAACAAAGCCAAAGCTTTGGGCTTTCATTCCATCTCCATTAAAGAGCAGAAATGTTTTGATGGGACCCTTTCAGTTCCAGATTTCAGTAGCAATGGGAACTTGGAGACGGGGATTCTCTCTTCTGTGTTTTGTTTTGTTTTTTAAATAATGAGCTAAATAATAAAATCAGTAAAGCAGCCAACTGTACTGGGCTTTTGACCTTGCTTTTACTCTGATCGTACGTTCCTGGACAAACATCCATCCTTTCAAACCCAACAAGCAATCCTGCCCATTAATTACACCGCCTGATACAAATCTTAAAAACTAAAACGAACACGACCATGCCCATGGTGCACAAGTGTATACTGCTAATATTTGGAACAACACCCCTTTTTCCACTTAAGACTTCAAAAGCAGCCGACAGACACAGCAAGAATCAGGCAAAAAAAAGTGTTTGCCTAAATTAAAAACAATAATACTAAATTGGAGGAGGATCCTGATGACACAGCAGACCACTCAAGAGTGCTCTTTTTTACATCACAACCATGGAAGTCACGCTTCAACCCCTAGCAGCAATCCAGCAGACTGAAAACAAGCTGTCTGCAGTCCATCCTGGCTAATTTCCATTGGAACACTGAAGTTTTTACTCTGAACACATACAATTTTAGCAATGGAACTAACTTTTTTTTTTTGTAACTTTATTCATACATTCTGAGCTCCACAGCCCAGAACGAAGCTCATCAACCAATGCGCCCCGTGCTGAAGGTGCCTGAACAAAGATTCTGCTTTCCCTCAAAACCTCAAGCATTTGACAATTTGCTTCAAAGGGCTCATTTTCATAACACCCAAACGAAGTCCTGTGAACATTTTGGGTTTCGACAGACAGATGAATGTAGAAGCTTTGTCTAATCTTGATTAACGTTGAGGTTTGAACTTAAATGTCACGACAGAACTGGAAAGGATATGAATCCACATTGACTGCAAGTGCAAGAAGAGTTTAAGCAATCTCTGCAAAATAGAACCAGAGTTGTGCTTGGCTCTTTGCTTCAGGCTTGGCTGCTGTAAGGCAGAAAATCCAGATCAGGAGGCGTTGGCCCCAGCTCACTTTCGTCTCCAGTAAGCTGCTGATTTTGGTACAAAGATCAAAAGGAAGCCAATGCTTCCTCATGTACAAGAGGAATGCCAGGTGGATGGGCTGAAGGCATTCCATCAGTACGTGTGCATGCTGTAAAGCTCGTTTTAGTTTCACTTTTCAATGTCCCACTAAAAACGTGAAGCTGTTGAGATTCTTAATAAAATGGCTATTTTTGCTGTGGAGATGTGGAGGTGAAACAAAGAGTAAAGCTGACAGTAGAGAGAAATCTTCACCAAAAAAAAAAAAAGAATCCAAAATCCTCATGCAATTCAGCATTCACCTGAAATCTACAATTTCAGCTTCAATCACAAAGTAGAATTCATTTTTTTGCTCTTGTAACTCTATCATTGGTATTATGGCAATGCTAAGCAGGATGCCCTTGTGCACAATTTCCTACAAACTCTTAACCAAATGAAGAGTCTCTGGATTCATGCTTCATTACACTCTGCCCTCAGCCATCCTAACCAGCCCTAAGAGCTAACAGGATCAGTTCACATGCTATCATTTGAGTTTTCCTTTACTCTCCTTTTTGGCATTCATGGAAGATGATAATGGCATTTTTTTTCTTGGTGGAAATTACAATTTCCATCGATTTGCTAACAATTTGCTAACAATTGCCACCTCTATTTTTTTTAATTATTATTATTAAATTTTTTGATGTCTTATCATCTCCAAAAAACACAAGGAGAAACTCCAGTCTCATCAAACCACCGGTGCCAAAAAAACAAAGTTGGGTTGGACTATTATTTTTTATTTATTTCCACTAAAAAACAAAAAATAACCATTTTTATATCTTTAGCCAACACTTCTCTAAAATTTTTAGAGCTTTCAGTGATACCAGAGTGGATTTTTGTTTTCACCAACCCGAGCTTTTTCTTTTTCTTTGAGAAAAAACATCCCTCCTGTGAAACTGTATTCCCACTAAAAATATAAACCAAAATGCATCATTTCATGGAAAGTTTGACACGGGGCTGTAAATTTCTATGGAGTTTTACTTGGTTTCTAAATGAGGAAACTGAGGCAAGAGCCCAATAACTAACCATGACTTGGCAGACCTCAGGATGTCACTGCCCTCCACAGACCTGATGGGTCTACAGGAAAGCCATGCATCCCCCTGCAGCTAAAACCCTCTTTGTGCCACGGATGGGTAGCAATGAGGGCACAAGAAAAATGGCAACAAGTAGTAAAACCACGTTACCCTTTTACAGGTAAAACACTAAACTATTAGACATAGCTGCTTAAAGATTAGAGTGTGGAAGAAGAGGGACTGCGTCAGCCTTTCCCTTCTCTGCTTCTAACCTGACACACTTCACCTCCTCCTGTGTTTTTATTAGCTGGTGTTCACAATACATCAGCAACAGCTATGATGAAACCAGTGGCAGATTTTACTGCAAAGCAGCTGGGTCATCGTCCCCTGGGTCTTGTTGCTTTCCTGCGTGAGATCTTAAAGTGACCATCACTATTCGGGCTATTTTTTTTTTAAAGAAGCTGAAAGGAGGGCGTGAAAGAGTTAAAAGCCAAAAGAGATGGGAAGAGAGAGTGGAGGGAAATAGGGAGATGCTTCAGTACCACGTACAGAGCTACTTTGAAAAATTCTGAGGCATCTAAGTATCACAAACACGATCCCTGCTGTGGGCAGCTGTACGTGCGAGTGCTTTGCCCGAGGGTATCAAATCAAATATCCACTGCTGGTTGGTACAGTACATCACTTCCCCTTGGGGATTTGGAGTGGGAAAAGACAGAGGAGAGGGGGAAAAAAAGGTTTAACCACAACAAACGGAGAAAAACTTTAACAATATCCGATATGGCTTATCATAGACCGTCATCTTATTTATTACGAGCAACGTAGGGGAGAGGAGAAAAAGAGAACGAAAGAGACAGCTTAATGCTGAGCCTTACCTGGAACCGCCTCATATCTCGGGGGTTTCCTGCTGTTTTCAAACAATTCTGATTGCACTTGAGAAAAAATTTTAAGAAGAATCTGTAACGGTAAAGAATTGTGCCACTGTTATTAACCATAACGAAACGCGTTGTCGTGTTGTGACTGAAAGTACACAGCGGAGTGATTTAGATGGAGGTATGTCAGCCATCCAGGACTGGGAGAACTCAGAAAAAAAAAACCCACACAGCCAACCCCAACAAACAAAAAAAACCACACCAAAATTTAGAAAAATCATGTGAACTGCACTCAACTGGCTATAATCAGCTCTGAGATGGGCTGTTAGTTGATACAAGTCAACGCAACTACTTTGATTTGTGCCCATTTCTCCACTGCACATTTGACCACACGATTTGAGTCTGTTCCTTTATCTCTCCTTTGCATATAAGGGCTTTCTTTTGCTGTCTGAATGGATTTTCCATGAGACAATATAGAAGGATAATGTTATTGTGATAACTACAAAAACCGACAGGGCAACTCTGTGGCTGATAAGCCTTGAGACTACTTAGAACATATAAAAAAACACGGAGACAAACAGAGCTCCCAGAAGAAGCTGATGAGATTTCATCCTGATGATGTTTTTAGCTGTTAAGATTTCGGTAACTAAAGCAAAAAAAGACCCAGATCGGAACCTTGCACTGATTCTGAGAGAGGATAACAAAAACACAAATGGAAGTAATAGGTGACAGCTCACACTGTCCAAGCAGATAAACCCATTAACATCATACAATGTGTCCGTGCCAATTATTTTTGCCCTGTCACATCTATCTATCTTTATACATTATTCTCCCATCGAGTTCAGCTTGCTGTGGATGTGAGTTGAACCTTCAGGATGCTGATGGGCTCACCCAGTACCATGTGTTATAACATACAGATCTCACATTTCAGCAATATTAGGAGGCCTTTATCAAATTTGGGTACTCCACAAAATTTTTCATTAGGATTCATCCCTTTATTATCTGATTCATCTGATGACATTTTGAATTTACGAGGTAAAGGAGCCAATTCTACATGAAAGATCACAGTTGTTGGATTAAAAACATGCAAGTCTTCACAAATTCAGACAAAACAGGCAAAAAAATCTCACAGATTCTTCACTCTACTGTAAGTGAAAATATTTTCTGTGACTCCTTTCTGCGTTTCCATTTGTAGAACAAAATGTGTTTAACAGCAACAATTAAAAAAAAACAAACAGATTTTAAGATAGGTTTGAACGGAAAAGATACAGATATGAGGAAAAAAAAGAATGATACAGTTGAAGAATTGGTTCAGAATACAAAGAACTTATTTATTTATTTCTCTTACTGAGTGCTTTTCTTAAAAAAAAAAGGGAAAAAAAAGAAAAAAAAAAATCAGCTTTTGCAGTAAGTTAAAGTCCCAGGTGAGCCAGGCCTATTTCCCTTTCTGTTACTATGACAACGATTTTTTACCGCAGTCCCTAAGTCCCTTCAGAACTCACACATTCATGCCTTGAATTAGAACTTTAAAGGAGAAAGATGTATATTTCCTAGGGTTTACCAACAACAACTGCCAAAATAGTCCTAATGCAACACACAAAAAAGCAGAAATTCAGTTCTCCTTGCTATTGCTACTTCTTTGCATCACTTACAGTGAGGTATTTCTCTTCCATCTGCCCCAAAAATACAAAGAAATACCGAAGGATCTGATCCATTGAAATGTGGCTTGAACAAACAAAACCCTTCACAGACCTCCCTACAACCAAACCCACAAAAACGACCCAGGGAACGTCACATACAATGACTGTCACAAAATACATCCTTCTAGCGAGCATTTGTTTGCCTTAAATCTGTCACAAACACTTTAAACATATCTAAAATGTTTATTTGCTGTGTGAGTGCATTTTGCAGACTGGTATTTTTGTCTCCATTTTCATTTCTTGGTTACAACATAGCAGCTGAGTGCATGGGCTGCGATGGGAGCCCAACGTCCTCACTGATCCCATTGGGATCCAGGTGTCAGGAGTCCAACATCCCAACTGATCTCATCGGGATCCAGATGTCCCCATTGATCCCACTGGGATCCAGGTGTTGAGAGCCCAAGTTCTCCATTGGGATCCAGGAGCAATGGGAGCTGGGTCCGGGCTCCCTTGGGCAGCTCCTGGGATCCCAGCCCTGGTCACTCACAGATCTTTGTGCCTCAGGAGCACGCTGCATGTATTCTATCAAACAAGTTGTATCGACTCCTCGTGCCAAAACTGTGGCCTCTTTTATTTGAATGATCAGCAAGCAAGATTTTATCTGTAAGAACGTTTTCAGAACGAACAATATTATGCATACTGGCACACTCAGACATTCACAGGAGAATTCCAGCCAGAGATGTTGCTCACAAACTCCTTGTTATCCTGCCCTCTTCTTACAGATATCAAAAAATATTTGCAGATACATAAACTGCTTATGTTGCTGAGATCTGGCTGTGCAGGGAGAAACTACAGAACGCCGCCAAACTGTGTAATGAAACCAAGGCAAGCAACTTCTGCATGGAACTCAGTGAGCCCATGGATATCTGCTTGTTTGGGAGAAAAAATGCAAACAAAAACCCACAAGATTCATGGCTTGTCATTGCTTTCAAGGAAAAATAAAAGATCAAATTAATCAGGCAAGTGTTTGCTTTGTAATTTTTAAAAAATTCTTGTATGCCTTTCAGATGAGAGAAACAAGGCAAACTAAGGGGCAAAGATCAGAGCACAGACGAATCCAACAGAGCTCGCCGTGTCAGTGAGCTGCCCTGGGAAGAGCTGAGTCCCACAGCATCGTGTGCTGCACCAAACCCCACAGCACAGGCACAAGAGGTAAAAATTCTACGCTAATCTGCATTTAACAGCACCCAGGACTGAATTCCATAACGCCACATGGCAATTAATGAAATTCATATTTTCTGTTAAATATCTAAAGAACGTTTGGGTGTGGATGCCCAGCTAGTGTAAATCAGAGGCATATGTGGAAATTAACTTGCATTTCAATTAGATCTGCACTGATTCATCCCACTGGGTGTACTGACCATTAAAACTACACAGAAAACAGAATTCTCCTTCTCTAAGAGCTGGATGCCTCCTTGGAGGAGCGGAGCATCACAGCCCTCCCCAGTGGTTGGGGACAAATATCCAGCATCGAAGCACTCAGCCAGGATCTGTAACCAGGAGCAATTTCCAAATGCAGCAAGTGCAGGATGCCTGGTTTAGTGGAGTTCTTGAGCCCCTCAAGCTGCTGAAAACTGTGCACCCCTAAGATATCACAAGGTGGGGATCAGTAATCCCTCACCTCACTTTTCTGAGTTTGCAGCATTGGAGCAGAATCCATCCATCGCTGTGCCAACTTATCCATGGTTTCTTTAGCATATCACTGGATGTGCTATATTTCAATGTCTCCTTTCAGAGTTTTTCTAGTCAAATTTTAGCTGCAGCTGGGCACTCACATCAAGTATTTGCTAGGTCGTTAGATATACATATATATTTTTAAGTGGTTGCATCTGGGAAAGGTATTAATATTTATTGCAGCATTAGAATAAAAATGACTTGGGGGGGGCAGAGAGAAGGATTAGCACTAAATGAAGCTGATTTAGGGGTAACAGGAGAATTGCAGAAGGGCTGTGTTAATTTTTTTAGCCAGTTTTTGGCATGGACTTATACATACATCAAAAAATAAAAATAATTTTTAAAAAGTTAAACAACTGCTGATTTTCATGCTTCTCAGCTGACCTTTGTTCCTTCCAAAGGACTGCATCAGCTATGGGTTTAGCAGACTGCAGCCAAGCAGAGAGAGTGTGGCGTGGTTCTCCCATAGATCAACACTGAAGAGCAATGAGGGAAAACTGGAACACTTTGAATAACTACCACAAAGAACCTCTGGCATCTCTACAGAAAGCCTGATTAACTTCACTGTAGATGTAAAAATTAATTAAGACATGCTACAGACATTCACTTCAATATGGTCAAGCCTTCCATCTACAGACTGATGCACTTCCAGAGGTCTCCAAACACCACCTTAAAAACAGTCCCTCTTCTAGGATTTCAAGGGAGCTCTTTCAAAAGTTTCTGCTCATCCTATTGGGAGTTACCACCGTGCTGGTATCACTTAAATGCCCCTTTTTCACTATAGTGCAGAGACAGCTGTGTTATCTCAGGCCAGCCTGCCCGGCCGCAATGGATAGCAGGGTGGAGTGCTCAGACATCCCATAATGCTCAGAGTGGAGGGACCAATTCCCCCGCAGGTAGCTGCCAATGGACAGGAGAAAGGCTGAGGGCAGAGCAGGTGAGGTCTTGTATCTATCAGGCTGTTCCCTGTGATGCTGGCCCATACTGGCACTTCGTGTCTGTACACCCATGTTACAAGGCTCTGAAACAGAGGCCATTTAGGATGTGTAATCTGCCCCAGGGAACTGCTTTAGCAAGGAGGTTGGTTGATGACCTCCAAAGAGCCCTTCCAACCACCATGATTCTGTGATTCTACATGGCTGGAACTCCACCTCTGAGGATGTTGTTCATCTTCCATCTGAGCTGACTGAAAAGAACCTTAATCAAATCCTGTTGGAGTCAGAATAATGTTCCTCATGACTTGAACAGGACGAGGCAGTGCGATTTATCAGCAAGTCTATGATGCTACAACCTAATGAGACTATAAAGATATCATAGCAATCTGACTTAGTAACTGAAGTGCTTTCAAGAAATCACAAAGTGAACTAAAATGAAAAACTGGAAGTTTTTATAAGGATATCTTTCCTCCAATTGGGCAGTACCAAGAGTGACCATGCTATGAACCACAAAACCATCGTTACATTGAAGGCAGCAGCATCGACACAAGTAAATTCTGAGGTCAGAGTCTCCCACTGTCTCCTGGACTCACTCATGAGCGTCTTGGCACTGTGAACTCTGAGATAAGTGTGACAAAGGACCATACCCAAACCACAATGCATGACAGAGCAAAAGGCTTCACTTGGAAACCCTTCCTTCCAAAGGGACCAGATCAGATTTTGCACCTACGTTTGAAGGTTCATATTTAAAATCTATTAATTGCATTTATCTGAAA